GAGTTTTATTGTCGTCTCTGCTAGATCCTTCATGTTATTTGCTTGCACCTTTAATAGTCATGACTGAGGAGGTTTTTACACTTGTGAGTCTAAGCTCCCTGGATCATTGCGTTTGTTACCTTTTCAACATCCACGTTCCCAGTTGTCACAAATGCTACCTAACAACATTGAGCGCTCAAAGTACATTTCCCCTTGTAACTCTAGGGAGTTTTGAATGTTCATATTAACTGCTTAAACTAGTCATAAACCAGTTAGGCTGTAGTACCAGACAAATAGTAACCATCTGATGCATAAAAATGCCTCTACATGCATTGCATGTGACTATTGAGATTAAACCTCTTAATGTATGGCCACACAAGCCTAAGGATAATTATAAAAAACCCCAACACTTATTCAGTGAAGAAGTTAAGAGTACTAATACATTAAACAAAACACCAATAAAAATGTAAATACATAGAAGTGTATGAGCCCCAGGATTTATCAAAAAATCACTGAAACAGCGTTTATTCAACTTCTTAGTTTAAAAAAGTACTCTCCTTAAGTTTTACCTTGAAATGTATGTCTTCTAAATGATAAATTAATTTAACTTAACTTTGTGTTGCTATTGATGCTTTAACATAATTTTTAAAGCTTCAATTTATCCTAAAAAGCTTCATAATGCGTCATTATTTGCTAACCCATAGTACAAAATTGTTTTTCTCAGTGGGAGCTGCAGACATTTAAAATATTTGTTCTGTTGTTGCAGAATCTAATTGTCTTTTAATTTAAGAAAGGAAAATCCTGGAACTGCAATGAAAAATGGCTATTCTAAATACAAAGTACAAAAAGTTCCTTTTTGTAGCCTGATTTTGAATTTAGTCTCATCCTATTGTAGTTATTTAATGCTTTTCAGGAAACAGGAAGCTCTTGGTTCTCTCTTCCTCATACAGAAGACTAAAGACTATATGCATTGCTGCTCATGGTGATGCCTTCATTGTTTAATGGTTTATAATGTTAACTTCCTCTAACTGTGGTTTCTCTCTTTGCTGGATTTTCGGACTCTTTCAGGTAAATAGTAAAATACAGTAACTGAGCTTCTCTGGTGGGAAGGGAGGATTAGTTGTGTTACAAAATGGAAATTAAGGCTGACTTCTGCTTAGACGCTATTTAGAACACAGTTTATAAGTTTGATTTACCACATTGTATTCTAGGGATGCATACAAAAAAAAAAAATTAATTCCATGGTCCAAATGTCAAGTTATGCCTCCCAACTGCACCCCAGCCCTGAGCTGGGGGCGTAGGTCAGGAAGGCATCTCTGTAGTCATATGACTGTCCTGTGCAGGACAATACATACGTACAGGTTACTTTAACTCTCACAGTGTCTTAAATCCATTGATTGCAGGAGATTTAAGCGTAAACTTAGAAGTCATCTGAACAAGATGTTTTCTTAAATTAGGGTTCAAGGACTTCTACCACTTTTCAAACCTACCTATCTAACAAGTATAGCAGAAAAACAAAAAAGATTGCATTAAGATTTAAAACTTTAACAGTCCAGCTTCTTGCAGACCAGCACAGAAAGGTTACGCCATGTGCTGTGCTGGTAATATTTTAATTTTATCTCATCTTGGTCAAACCAAAGTGTGGCATGTGTTCATCAGTCAATCCCGTGCGTCAGTTCTTGGCGTAGGCAAAGTAACAATTTAGTAAAGAGAGAGCCAGAGAGAGAGATCAGTTGTGCAGGGCAGCAGGCACAGCAGAAAAGCCAGGCCACCTCTGTCTCTCGGCGTACAGCGGAGTCTGGTTTGGGGAAAGCCAGGTTGCTGCTGCAGCGGTGACGGGCTGTGCAGGATGGCAGCCCCTCCAGGCACAGGATCCTGGCTCCTTTCTCTGCCCCCATCCGCGGGGGGTCTGCAAGGCTGGCTGTCGGGGATGCTCACTTCAAGGTTTATCCTTGCTCCCCTCTACTCCACCTTTTGCAGAAGGAGAGTCCCGCTGCTGAAATCATCCCGGGAACAGCACAGTTCGGTTTCACCTGTGCTTTGAAGAGCTGTAAGCCTGACATAGTGCCAGGAGAGGAACTGCTGGAAGAGGTTCTTGTGAGGGTTTTGTCAACAGAAACATAGAGGGGGATCAAAGTCAACTATTGCTTGTAAAGTCCAATGTGAACACATAGAGATGATGGGAACAGCAGGAAAATTATGAAATCTATACCCAGATATTGAGTCTTTATTTTTAACATCCTATGTGCTTCAAAATCAAAATGCTCAGATGATATACAAGATAGTTTAACAAGATGAAAAAAAAATATATACAAGATTAAAAATTAAAACTAAGTTACAAACACATATCTTCCCTTCTGAACACAAGTAGTGTGGTTTATCCTCTAGAAATAAATAGTTGACCACCGAAACATCTGAAGACACTGTTCCTTTATGCGCTGAAGATTAATGCCTTAAAACTAGGTAACTTCTGTAATCCACATAGTTAAGGTAAGATGGTGATTTAAACAGATTTGGAATACATAATTTCCATAGCTCAGAAAGAGTGGCCTGGCGTGCAGCGCTGTCTTGCAGAACTCGGATCTGTTCTGTGCATGGGATTAAAGGTGCCTGAAACTTTGTATTCCCCATGATTATCCATCTCCCCTCCATTTGCCCATGCGGTGGGATGCTCTCTCTTCCAGACACTCTGTATGTATAATTTCTAAGCAGCTTTGGGAACCCTAGGGATTAGAAAAGGTATATGAATGTTTTATAACGTTATTGATAACTGTAGAGCAGACACTTTTCTAATAAACTGCTGTGAGGTAAGTTACTGGTAGCATCTGCAGAGATGTGTGTAAACGAGCTCAAAATAATTAACGCTGTGTTAGAAGAAAGCTTTTTTTAAAGCACATCTGTATTGGAGCATATAAGATTATTTCAGCCTACCCTGAGAATGTGTTATAGCACAAATTACCATAATTTATTAGAGGAAGAGCCATTTCTGTTAATCATATATTAATTATTCATAAAATCTGTATTAATGTTACCTTAATGGGAAGTGTTACCAGCTGGGGTACTGGGCTTGGCAATCTATTCACATACAAAAATAGATGAATAGCTTGACTTAAAAAGAAGACATAAAAATGACTTACAAGAGCATAAAAGCAGCAAGCATGTGTATATGAGTTAACATAGAGCTGGCTACGGTAGAGCAGTCCAGCCAGCTAACCACTTTGTATTTTGGCGTTAGCACTGGTTTGTGCCTGAGTGAAATTCAAGTGGAATTACTGGAGGATGTTCATTACAAACCAGTTCTGTATACCTTGCCCTAATGCTTTTCAGCTCTTCAGCAAGCATAGCTCTGGTGAGTCTGAGTGAAATAGAACGAGACTCTTTTCCATTCTACTTTAAAAAAACAAAACAAACAACAAAAAAAAAAACCACAAAAAAACCCTCCAAAATCTGATTTCAGTAATTTACATTCAGGATAATTTTTTCCTGCTGGGAAAAAAATAAGAATAAGAAAAAGAAAAAGAAAAAAAAAAAAGAAAAGGGAGATTTTTGCAACTTTTTAATCTTCTCAGAAAGCTATTGTGAACCATGTGACATGAGAAAATGGTGCTTAGAGGATGTGTTTCAACCCTGAATGAATGTGGAAGTGTGTATATACGTATGTGCATGTGCAGGTGTATGTAGCTTTCTAGATGCTCTACTCAATTAAAGGAGGATGTCAACATTTAGATTATGACTCAAGACTAGAAGGTATGTTTTGATGGAATTTCAGCAAAATCAAACACAGAATGAATTTTCCAAAATGTATTTTAATTAAAACTTCTTTTTCCTGGCTTTTGAAAGTTCTCTTGCAGGAATGAAAACCCAAACAGAAAGGGCACTGGCTAATGCATGCAAATGTGTAATGCCTGTAAAGTGCAACTAGTTTTATTTGAACAGTAAAAGCTTCATAGGATTCAGCTGAAATGAAATTGTTTAGCTCAGCTAGAGCCTTTTTATTAGGATAGCACAATGTTGAACTTATAAACACATTTGTTTTACATGTTAAGATAAAAGGCTGTTTATTGTTTAAAGATTTTTTTAAAAAATGCAGTTACGACCTTTAATGTGTGATCTGTAAGCTCTCATCTGATGAATTTTGGCCAAAGCCATGGAAGAGAAGCATTTGGAGTGGGAAGCCAACCCAAAAGAAACAGAAAAAATAATTTTAAAAATTGCATAGCTTTCAGTGAGTCCAGGAAACTAGGCCTGGTCTTGGAGCAGCGCATAGAGCTGGGTGGTCTAAGGCTGAACTGATGTTCAAGAATCTTAAGTAATTATGATTTTTTTCCATAATGCTGATCGTACTTCCAAGTTTTGGGTGGTGGGTGAGTCTGTGGCATGCAATCAATTGTTATGCCTAACTGATTAATACAGATCAGAAATGAGGTTATTTTGCAGTTTAGATTTTTCTCTTCAAATTTCATTTTCAAAGAAATGTGGTAAAGGAGAAGTGTATATGGGAGCAATTTGTATCTGGAGAGCTTACCAAATAATGTTATAAAAGAGGCTGAATTCTGCAGTATGCTGATGGTTATTACTAGCCGTGGATGCCAGGAGCTCCTTGTACATAATCCATCCCGGCACCATTTTACACTTGCGTATGAAAATGTTATCAGAGTTCTGCAGAGTCTGGTAATGATAATACTTAGCATTATAACAAATAGGTAGTACTGTTATTTTGTTCTCTATTTTAGTATATCAAATGTATTTCATTGCTTACACTGTAGTAGCAGATCGAAACCATCTGCTGTCTTGCCACTGGTCCGCCAGTTGAACAAAAAATCTCAGCTCATTTTCCTTGAGGCCAGTATGCTTTAAGGCATGTGTACTAGGACTATAATCCAGCTGCTGAATGTTGATACAAGTCCAGACCTATGCTCACGCGTCTTTTAAATGGAAACAATACTCTTTGCCAAGGACTGGAACAGAGATAAACTCAGTTTGCTTTTCTCTCTTCCCTCCTCCCCCCATCCCCTTTACAGCTCCATCCCCCATCACAGTCATAAGGAAAGACAGGACATCCAGGAACAGCGTGTCTCTGTCTTGGCAAGAACCCGAACATCCTAATGGGATCATCTTGGACTACGAGGTCAAATACTATGAAAAGGTGGGAAGAAAGATTGGAGGGGAAGTTTTTGTGCTGGTAATACTGTAATGAAATTACTGCATCTTGCCTATGTTAAGTATTCAGAGACACCCTTGTTCGTTCACTGTCTGCCTCAATGACACCAAGTGTTGAAACTGTTCAATTTTTGGTAAGGAGAACATCATGAAAATATGAAGTGAAATTGTGAAGTTGTGTTGTTCTACCAAGTTCATCTCCAAACACATCAAAACAAATATAGAAAGTAATGCAGACAAGCTGTAATACTTATTTTCTTGAGTACAGTTCACTTACTCAGTTCTGTTATGCTGTCGGTGTTCATACATTTATTGTCAGCATCCATGTGTTGGTGCTTCCCTGTGGCATCTTCTGCACAAAAATGATTCTTTGCACTATGGATAGTGCACTGGTTTGCACTATGAAAGTTCCCACTTTTCATGAATAACTGAATTCTTCATAAATGTTATGTTAAATAACTACAAATCAAAGAAAATCTGCCATTAAATAGGTTCTGCTTTATATTAACATTTTCTTGTATTTACAGCTGTTGATTTCTACATAATATATAGATCTGTCTTTAGGAAAAAAAAAAAACTTCATAACAGAATGGAGGTTTTTTTATAAATCTTACTGGTAGAATTGAAAAGACCATAAATTGTTGTGAAGATTGTGAAGAGTGGTATTAGC